ACACACAGACACACAAAGACACACACACACACACACACACACAGACACACACACACACAGACACACACACACACTCTGCACACATCACACATTTAAAATTTCATCAGCTTCTCCTCGAGTTTGTGCTGTGAACGTTTAAAACTGATTTAAGACTGAATCGTCCCGTCGTGTTTGACGACTTTAGACAAACTTTATTTCTCCACCGGGAAAAGTTTTGGACGTGAAAGGTTCAGTGTGATGAATTTAAAGTGTGATGGTTTTGTGCTCAGGTGCGACGGCGCTGGTGTGGGACCGGAGCGAGTCCGGGCTCAGACACACACACACAGAGACGTCGGCCCCAGGGACGTCGGCGAGGGCCCCGGGCAGGATGCAGCCGACCCCCAGAGACAGAGCGCCCCCTGTGGACAAAAAACTCATGAAAAAACTCCTTTCTCTGGAGGAAACGCAGAACAAAACCAAGACTAAACGAAGATAAAGGCTGAAAGTAAAGAGAGCGTTTCTTATATTCAAACTCAAACTTTACTGATCCATAGAGAAACGAGTCAGACACAAGAGTCACAATAAAATATAAAGACAAAGAAAACAAATATATAAGGAGCAAGAGACACGAGTTAAAGGTTGTATGGAGGATTTTTTTTTTTTGTTTCAAATTGTCACTGAAAGTTTAAAATACCGTTACGGAGACGCAGCAGCTTTGTAATTATGATGACCAAGAAAAAAAGAATGAAAATCCAACAACTGTGGACGTGTTGAGGCCAGAGAAACATCAGCCAATAGAAAACGAGGCTGCCTCTTTATATATTGGCTGTCGGGTCGTCAATCAAACTCCCTACGTTTCTAGTGTAAGTGACTTGTGGGCACACGGGGATTTCGTGGTTTATGCGGCAGGTCTTAGAGGCTTTTTCAAACTGTCGCGTCCTCGCAGTTCGCACAAAGTTTGTCGCGACGTCGGACAAGAATCCACGACCGGATCGCTGCAAAAGAAAGTCAGTTTTTGAGGTCGCAAGAAGAAGAAGAAGAAGAAGAAGAAGAAAAGCGAAGACAAACTGAGGTGGTTCTTGGAGATCTCTTCCCGCGACGGCGCGACTGAAGCGGGCGAAGGGTCCAAAAACTGAAGACGCGTCGGTCGCTGAATTATTTCTAGACAGGAAACTTCAACGGCGATTCTGAACCCGCGCCGGATGTAAACAAACGTGATTTCTAGAGTCAAGAGGCGGGAGGAGGAGGTGTTTCTACTGAGGAAGCCGTGGAGGAGGAAGGTGGTGTCACAACATTTGAAAAAGGACGGTCGCTGTATTTCTCATTCCTTAAAAAAGTCCTCTATTCAACCTTTAAATAAGACATAATTATATAAATGTAAAAGTCTAAATAAAATAGAAAAATAAATATAAATAAGCATATAAAATATAAAAATATAAAATCTGAGTTTTATAAAAGAGATAAACAGGACACAGGGTTGTCGTTACACTGGGGCTCTGACCTCACTGATGTTTGTTCATGTTTTATAAACGTTTAATGTTTTTGTACTATTTTTCAATAAAAGTACAGTTTTGGATGTTTTGTGTTTTTTTCTTATTTATTTGTAAAGGGACAGAACAGGTTTATGAACATTTAAAATATAAATATGTCAAAATTATAACGTGACTCATTTCATTTTCAGCCCCTCGACAGGCTCATGTCACACACCAACAGTTACACAAAAACTAATGGAACACACACACACAGACACACACACACAGAGACACACACACACAGAGACACAGACACACACAAACACACAGACACAGAGACACACAGACACACACACAGACACACACACACAGACACACAGTGTTTGTGTGTGTGTGTCTGTGTGTCTGTGTGTGTGTGTGTGTGTGTGTGTGTGTGTGTGTGTTTGTGTGTGTCTGTGTGTCTCTGTGTGTGTGTGTCTGTTTGTGTGTGTGTTTGTGTGTGTGTTGTCCCAACACAAACACACACACAAACACACACACAAACACACACACCTTCATCATCGTCATTAACCTGAGAACGCGCGGACCACATTTCCTTCTTTAGTTACTGCGCGGACATCGCTGTCCTCCCGGGCGCCGCATACGTTTTCTCGCGTCGCTGCGCAAACTGCGCTTCCTCCTGTGCGCCTCAAAACCAGAACTAACACCAAGACTAAAACCGGGACTAACCCAGTCCAGGACTAAACCAGGACTAAAACCAGTGATCTCATATATAAAGTATTTCTCTATCCATAATATTTTTAATATGGTGAAGGAAAGACTGGACTTTTTATTGTCTTTAAGTCGACAAAAGTTATTATGTTCAGATTTCCTCGTCTTTGCTACTTTACAGTAAACAGTTTCTTATTCATGGAGACTTGGGCTCAACAGCCAATTTGAAGAGAACAAACAAGAACAACATTTGCAGGATGTGGTTGTTACATTCATGTAGTTTTAAAAAACATGACAATATCAAGTAATCCAAAGTAATCAGATTATGTTACTCACTT